TTCCCTTTTTGTACATTGTTGTTATTTTCCCTTTTTGTACATTGTTGTTATTTTCCCTTTTTGTACATTGTTGTTATTTTCCCTTTTTGTACATTGTTGTTATTTTCCCTTTTTGTACATTGTTGCTATTTTCCCTTTTTATACATTGTTGTTATTTTCCCTATTTATACATTGTTGTTATGTTCCCTTCTTAAGCTCCTTCTTATGATGACCAATTAAATTTCTTTTTGCCTTTGTAGCCTACATTGTTGTTTATTTTCCCTTTTTGTACATTCTTGTTATTTTCCCTTTTTGTACATTGTTGTTATTTTCCCTTTTTATACAGTGTTGTTATTTTCCCTTTTTGTACATTGTTGTTATTTTCCCTTTTTATACAGTGTTGTTATTTTCCCTTTTTGTACATTGTTGTTATTTTCCCTTTTTTTATACATTGTTGTTTATTTTCCTTTTTTGTACATTGTTGTCCACTTTCTGTCCCACCCCGTCACCTCTTTTGCCCCCCTCCTCTGGGCTCCTGATTCTTTCTGCAGCCTTTCTACTGCTACTCCTTGGCTCCTCTTTACTGCTGTCTTTCTGCCACACCCCTGAACTTCTGGTAGGAAAGATCTATACCTAGCCTTCTCTGACAAGGGTGAAAAATCTTGGAGGGCCCATGTTTAAGATCCCTTGGTGGTCTAAAATCGATAAGAGTAGGCTTCGACCGCCACCTACGCAAAATTCAAAATTTCCTACCAACTGAAAATATTAGGTGCGTCCCGCGCGCTCATATGACTTTATGCAGTTGCGAGCACCATAAAATACTTACCAAAAAAAATTTTTTTAAATTCATTGTTTTTATTTTCCCTTTTTGTACATTGTTTTTTTTTACCTTTTTAATGTTCTTTATTTTCCTTTTGAAACAAATTGCATTCAATTCCTCTATATACATTTTAAATTTCATTTTTGTTTTCTACTACATAAAACATAGCGAAAGATTACTAAAAAATCCTCAGTATTTGTCACCAGTGACATTAATGCTACAATAGGACCTTTCTTCATATGTTTGGAGATACTAAGGTGTGGCACAATTTTTGTATCTCGTGAGTTAGGAGGGAAAAAATAAGACAGTTTCCGCTGAAGCAGGAGGTCAAGATTCAAAGGTTCTTTGTTCAGTCAATACACAGGCACAATACAGAAGCAAAGCGCTCAATTTATGAGGGGAAAAGGGGGTCCAACAGTATATCCTGTGTGAAGTGATTGTGTGTGTGCCTGTGTGCGCTCAAGTACTCAAGTATGCTTGAGTGTGTTTTTATGTTTTTATGCATATTATTATCATATTATGTGAATGAGTGTGTCGGAGGGGGAGGATTGTGTGTGTGTGTGTGTGTGCGTGGGAGTGAGAGGGGTTGAATTTCCTCAAAACATATCATCAAATGTGTAATTGTGCCTTGTTTGTACAAGCACTTAGATGTGCATCCATGTGCACATATTATGAGTGTGTGTGTGTCTGTGTGTGCGTGTGTGTGTGTGTGTGTGTGTGTGTCTGTGTGCGTGTGTGTTTGTGTGTGCGTGTGTGTGTGTGTGTGTGTGTTTGTGTGTGTGTGTTTGTGTGTTTGCACATGTGCGTATATATGTATGTGTGTGTGAGTTTCAATGAGTGAGAGAGAACATGTGTGCTTTCACTGTGTATGCACACATATGTCCATTCACCTGTTTCTGCACCCCGTTTGCAGTTATAACACTTAAGTGTTTAAGCACCACACACACAAATCCAAAAGATAAAAAGATTAAACAATCTCTGCTACAGCCACTACCTTTTGGTTCCCACAAGTTTTGACATCCAAAGTACTCAAAAGTACTGCAAAGACGACACAGTGACCTGATCCCACAAACTACGATGTGGCCTTCCTGATTATCTAACGCAAGAGCTATTTCAAAACTGAAATCTTATCAGGACAGCACAACCCCTTCACATTTCAAGGGCATAGATTTTTAGACTAACCGTTCTAGAAATTAAACTGCATAATAATGGTAACCACAGATATAGAACAGAAAGGAGAACTAAAGAACCTTAGTAAGGTTGACGAAAAGATTAACTTCTGTTCAGTACTGTCTGAATGTCATTGAGTGCAACCATTCTACCCCCACCCCGCTCCTCTCCATTCTTAATTCTATGTCACAGTGTTAGTTCTTGGCTTTTGTCAAAGATGTATGCAAAGGTGTGACACAAAAGCTCAGCTAAATCATGACAATAATGTTAACTTCAAAATCACCCTTTCAGCAAAAAATTAATCATACATGTTATCTTAACTTTTTTTTTGAAGGGTGAAAGGAGGAGGAAGGAAGTTAAGTACGAAGAAAAACAATGTCTATGTGGCAAGCAAAATGAACAAGTTTTAAGTTTTGTTTGTTTGTTCACCTAAAAAAAAAAATGGGTTACATCAGACAGCTTACAGTAAAACTGGTCAGAATGACACAAGCACTTTTTAAAAATCACATCAGCAATATGAAAGACAATCAGGAACAAGATTTTAGTTTCTCTGTTTACGCAAAAGAGGCATATGGACACACTAATAGCCTCTTACTTCAGTGGAAAAGCAATAACAGCAGCCACAACATAAGCAGCATCAATAACTTCAACAACTTCAGTTACCACAACATCACGTAACAATGACCACTGCAACACCAGTAATATCAGTAACCTCAACAGTAACAACAACAGTAACAATATGATGGTAATGGCGACAGCCGCAACAGTACCAGCAACAATAACAACACCAACAACAGCAACAAAAAACAAATACAATGGACTCACTCTGTAGCCCATAAAGGCTGCCTTGAGAGCATGTTCCACCGAGCAGGCTCCACACGCCATGGTCTGCACCTGGCGCAGTTTGGGAGGCGCCACCTATATAGGGAGGTTTTCGTTTTAGTAAGAGTTTTATGGTACTCCCAACACAAATAGGTCATATAAGTGCATGCATGCACGCCCACACACACACACACACACACACACACACACACACACACACACACACACACACAGACACACACACAAATACATAAACACACATGTGAGTGGTTGGCGGATGCTCTGGTGTGGTTGGCTCCTTCCTTTCTATCAAACATTTATAGCAGTATCTCTCTTCCTTTTTTTTTGGTGTTTGTTACTCTCTTGCAACATTTCTAATCTCCTGCATTTATATTACTTTGTCATGTTACAAGTGCCATAAAACTCTTACTAAACTAACTAAACGATTTGGGGTTGTAAACAGAATCCATTAACTTAATAGATTTTTATAATTATGAAACAAGAAAACCCAAAAAACAAAATTAATAAAATCTGGTTAACAGATTATTATGTCTTTGCAACAATATCACACGGCCAAATAGAATTTATATACATTGAAAAATCAATTTCTAAAACCCACGCAGGTCTTAACAAATAAGTGACTACAAAGATAGCCACGCCATACATACAGACAGCAGAGTTTCATTGAGGTCTTTCACAAAGTGTGATGGAGGAAAGACACCTAGGGCTGGTCTGTTGGCAAATGTGCTCTGCAAGAGACAAAAAAATAATCAGATCAATCAAAGAGTAATTAATCAAGCTATCTTTTAAAAGATTTAATTCTTATTTTCTAAAGGAAAATAAGCGAACTTAATTTCTCTGTTATAATCTTTATAAAATTATGTGGAATTCTGGTGAAATCAGCTGTCCCCGTGGTTTTATGCACCCCGCATAATTTAGCAAAATTTGATCATTTTTTGCATAATTTCTGATTATTTTCCTTTATCATTCTTTGTTAAAATTAACATAATCGCATAATTTCACATATTTGGGCTCAGTTTGCATAATTTCAGAATTTTTCTTGCATAAAACGACAGGGACAGAATCAGGCACTTGTCAAAAGAATGAAATTGGAGAAACCAGCATTTTTCCGCCAGTTGGAAAAATTTTATCACATTTTTTCCCCCAGTTCAGCACCCTTTTCATCCACTTAAAAATATATTTCTGGGTGGTTGATACTGAAAAACATAGATCAAAGGCACAAAAATGTAAATTTGCAGTTTCTAAGGACACTAAAGCTTTGGGAGTGATCAAACTTTGATGACCCAAAAATTTCTTGCCAATTTTACCTCTGACACCATGTGGCCCGATCACCTCCTTCAATCACAAATTTTATCTCCTCTTCAATTAAGGACAAATGGATATTTCACAAAATGAAATGTAAGACAAATAACAAGCTTTGAGACTATACCAATAACTCACAACGCTGTGTGACCAGATACTCATCAATTTCTGGGTTTGTGATTGGTATCATCTTAAGGCTTGTTCATTTGTTTTGTTTTGGATGAAAAAAATACTCATCCATCTTGAATAGAAGTCGAGATATTTGCAATTGAAAGAGGTATTAAGAGGTTTAAGAGGTAAAATTAGTGAGAAAATGGACGCCCAAGTTGCGTGACTTCCAAAGCTTGAGAGCCCTTGGAAACTGCAAAATTACATTTTCATGCCTTTAATCAACGTTTTTCAGTAAAATCCACACAAAAATATGCTTTTGAAAGCAATAAAAATTGCCAAATATGTCGAAAAATGCCAGTTTCTTCTATTTTATTATTTTGACGAGCGCCTGATTTCACCTTGCTACCTCACATATGTGTGCTCTTCCAAAGACAAGAAGCCAAATACATTAAAAAATAATCAAGCTGTATTTTTGAAAGCTTCAATTCATTTAGCTTAATAGCATGAGCAAGCTTAATGGCAAATATTAGAACTTTATAATATATTATATTATATTAGAACATAATAATCTTTATGAAAATAGAAAACGTTTTCCAGTAAGCTATATGCATAGTAAAATTTTAAAAAAACACGCCATGTTATACGCTTACCAAATTAGCAGGGTCTGTTATTGCCTTGAGAATTCTTGGGTGATTGTAACCTGTGGGGGTGGGAAAAAAACCTTCAAAACATAGAATCTGAATAAACATAAACTATATCAGCTTGTAGAGAGAAAACATTGAACATATCTGATTCTCCATGTTACTACAACATATATACACATAAAATGCTCACACATACACGCACATACACACACACGTACACACACACATGTACACACACACACACACACACACACACACACACTCATAAATAAACACACATACACAAACAAACTCACACACAAACACACTTACACACAAATACACTTAAACCAGGCACAAACACACACACTCACACACACACACACACACA